TTGGCGACAATGCGTCCTGATGCCAGGATGCAGATTTTTTTTCAATGAATACCCTCTGGAACTGTTGAGAACGTTCCAGAAGATTATGATTTCGTAATTACTGATAAAAATTCCAAAAAATTCAACATTTAAAAAAAACTCGGCAAAAAAAATGTTTTCTGGGACCATGCGTCCTGATGGCAGAACGCATTTTTTGACAAAAAAAATGCGCGTGGTCCCATGCGGCGGACAAGCAAAAATAGGCTGGTCATCAACGTGTTAAACAATCGATTAGCTCGACCAGCCTCACAACCTACCAACCCAGGTAGGGTTGTTTGCACTTTATGAAAACGAATTTGAACTAGCCCTGGAAGCTTTCCTTGGCTAGAGTTTTCTTGCTGCATTAACTGTAGATTATTAAGGTATTGTATGTTTCTGAGATAAAAGGAAAGGACTTGTACTTGTAGAATGCCTCCAAAATTAAATTTTTGGTGGGAAGGGTACCTTTCCAAGTAAGGTTATTCATATTCTGCGATCATAGGTAAGTGTCAGGACAAAGATTACAAGGACTCCAAGAAGGGAATCCACAACATAACTCATAAAGTTGAAGTCACTTGAGGTGCTGCACTGGAAAGGAGGGAAAAGCTAAATAAATTACATCCAATCCAAAAGAGAACCTCAGAGATCATGAGCATTGTTGATCAACATGTCCAAAAATTTTTTTACAGACATAGAGAAGACTTGGTGGCAAGTTGCACACATGCCCTGCTACATTTAACAAAATTATCAACAAAGATCCGAAGCTGGAAAAGATGCCTCACCATGCTGCAGAGAGAGAGAGAGAGAGGGATCAATAGCAAAAAGCTCCATGAGCACTATTTAGGAGGAGACAAGCAGAAATAAGTGGTCACTCTAGACCAGTGGTTCTCAAACTTCCTTTCATTCCCATTGAACCTTTATGCATCCAGGGGTCGCAATCCCCAGTTTGTGAACCACTGCCCTAGACTAAGCATGGATTTATCTGAGTGATACAAAGTTTGAGCTGTATACTATCATCCCTATCCCTATGATGAAAAAACATGTCAAAAGTGGTTCTTGGAGTGCAAGGAAAGTTTCTTGTCTGGATTCAAATTCTTCACTGGCTTTTGCTATAATGGGAATTTGCAGGTTCACAGAGTGGCCAAGAATGACTCCCAATATTACTGTGAACAAGTTTGAGGTCAATTTTTTAAAAGGAAACCCCCATCTGTACAAACCAGAGACTCCAAAGTGCACTAGGATGAGGCATCATGCCACACTTCCTCTGCAACTGCTTCCTGTCTGATACAGATGGAAGAAACCACTGGAATAACAGCAATATCATTCATGGATATTCCTGTGAAGTCCCCAGAGCAGCACCAATCAACTTTTGTGCTTTTAGATTATTGAAGCAAGCATTGGGATATCAGTCACCTCACATTTTGGATAGTCTCTGGAAAGTGTGCAAGGGAAAATGGGAGCATTTGGATCTCATTGTGCTTCTGAGGAGCTTGCTATTATGAAAGTTCACTGTAGAGCTATTGCCAAGAACCATGGGTACCATATAAAGCATGACTGAGAACAGAGAAGGATCCTCTAAAGCAGTGGTTCCCAACCTCGGGTTGTGACCCAAATCAGGGTCGTGGGGGAGTCCTCAGTAGAGTCGCAAATGGTCATCAGAATAAAAAAATATTTTTTGAAAATGCATCAAATTTCGGCATGAAGATATTTATATACATATTTAAATTTCATCAAAAGCCTGAGGGTCAGGAAGTCCTCTTGGTGGCCAATTTAGGGTTGCAGCAATAAAAGGTTGGGAACCACTGCTCTAAAGGTATGCAAATAAATTACAATTACAATTACCTACATATCACTTTTCTGCTGTATCATTTTCCTGTAAGAACCTCAATCAGTACCCTATCTAGTTTAAGGGATATTGCCATATGTACTGTGACATCACTGTGATCACAGCTCTTTCATCTCAAATGACATGTGGACAACAGAAGCAAGGTGCTCCTCCTCGCTGAATACCGTGATCTATAGCAAGAGTCCGATTGTTTGACATGAGTCAAACATTATCTATAAATATATTTTAGGGCATATATAGCAATGTAGATTGCAACTGCAACTTTCTTTCCAACCTATCAAGTTTTGACAGCCTGAGTCAACTGCCCTCTCACAGACTTAATGAAATATGGGGGGGGGGAAAGCCAGTAAAAGATAGCATACTTGAAGAATGTGGGATCAAGGGGATGAAGGAGTTCTTCATCTCCATCAGAATCAGGTGCAACATATTTCACATCCAGGGTCACAGGGGAGTCAGAATGTGTCAGCACCTCCACTGCCTCCTTGTGCATGGCCTGAAATTTGAAATTACATTATATCATATTCAATCTATCAATCCCAGTCACTGTCGACACAAGTGAATTGCCCCTTTTGCAATCACATTTCCCAAAAATTGATATTGTGCATTACCATACATTTTGTAAAAGCTCTGTTGAAATGTTTGAGAAAAACTGATGCCTCAGTGCTTCTGGACCTACCATCTTACCTGCTGATCTCTTGTTTCTAATGTTTATAGTCAAAATGCATGGAACCTTGGATAGCACAAAGAGGTATCTCTATTTTTTTTTACATTGTTTTCCAAATATTGACTTAGCATGGCTTAGCATGAGCAGATGATACCAAGTTCTGGCTGTCTGGTTGAGTGCTCCCTGTCCTCATGTGCAAGAAATAGACAGGAGCCCAAGTTGCTTGTGTTCCCAATTCCATGGATGCAATCATGCACCCTCTATTCATATAATTTTTTCATATCCAGTCCAAATGAAGCATTTATTGAGACTGAATAATGCAACAGTGCTCACACTTTTATAGAATGCATTTTTACAGCAATGAATAATCTCTATAATCCCCCCATTTTCTGATCTGTCTCCCTTTGGACCTGGTCTGAAATGAGATAAAATGACAATAATAGTGAGTCCAACTGCTTGAATGAGAATAATTTCCAAATATATGATCCAGTGCATAATTATTCCTCAATTGTGTAAAAAAAATTAATTTAAAGATATTGGGGTCAGATTTATTCTGAGAGACTTTTTTTGTTCCATGCTTCACATACCTGGACTTTAAATTTATGGGGTAAAGATTCAGCATTACCATAGAAGCACAGCCAAACTTCCTTTTGCAAAAATTCACAATACAGAGAATTACCAGAGTACTGAGTTGATGATATCAATTTGAAGTTCCTTAGAAATCAATTTCTAGCCCTATTTATCCTACAATGCACTAATGATAGAGGAAGGCACCACATCAAGTGTCAGAAAAAAAAAAAACAATAATATAGAACAATCAAGTATGGCATGACAAGGAAAACCACAAAGCAGGATGGACTACAGAAGGCAGAGGTGGTTAAATGACAAAGAACACTAGCTATACAGTTTACAGACCACATTTTGAGGACCATTGGAGTAAGGTATTCATATGCTAGTAGAAAAAATACATTTTGCAGACTGGCTTCAGAAACATGAAGGGTTCTTACCCCTTATTGCAAGTAGTTCTAGCATGAAACATCACTTCAAGAAGATATAATAATACCTAAATGTCTGTGCAGATTATACCAACAATTTCATCCTGCACATATTCATTCACATGTATTACTGAAAGCTTTTAGAGAGGGAAATGGATACCTTACAGTACAATGATGAGGCTGTCAGCAATGAAAATTTGTCTTTACTCCAACTCAGTAACAGACTGTGATTTAACTGCATTGATCTCCTAGCTGAATAAATGCTTTAGGGAAGGCCAACATTAAGATAATGCCAGCCTCTAATGATGAGAAAGGTCTTCATTACCTCTATGACTTGTGACCCTATGACATATGCACATAGCAGAGGAGGGCTCTATCTGAAAGAGCCAATCATGTAGAGGAATTCTGCGCAGGAAGTGTGGCAAAAATTTTTCTGAAATTCCTCTTTTTCTACATGGCATCATTCATTTATTTCCTAATGCACACATGAAATTTCAAAGTAATGTAACTGTACTTTCCAGCTCTACATGTGTCAAATATGAAGCCCATTCTATATTCCATCCAGGAGAAATCAGCCATTATGCCATTTGACATTTTTGTTGGTTTTCTCTATGGCAAACTGGTTAAGGGTTATGAAAATATGGAATGTTTTCTTGAAGAGAAGAGCGAAATTTTCAACCAATGGCATGACTTCTGACAAATGAGTGTGTATCAGCACATAGGGAAAAAGCAGAAAATCAAGCTGACCAGTCTTATATTATCCCAAGCAAAGAGACCATCATTTCCAGCTTTTCATACATGGAGGGTGCAAGCTGAAGGGAGGAAGGAGGGTCAAAGGCCTACCTGAGAAATGTCGACACCATTGCAGACAAGGATGGCATCCCCAACAAAGAGTTCCCCACTTCGACCAGCTGGTCCATCTGGTTGCAGCTCTGAGATCAAGATTGGAACTCCATGCTCTTGCCCACCCTGGAAAAAAAAATTGAAATGCCATATTAAAAATTTTACCAGCAATCCAACTCCAATTGCCAAAGGACAGGAGTTAAGCCAACAAAGTTAAATACTAATACCAATAAATCCTATCAGAGCAGATGAGAATTTGCAATAAGTGGCTGATGACCAGGAAGTCACCAGAACCATTTTCCCACCAATTAAATAGTAATACAGCCTTCAAGTATGAATCAATATTGCATTTTACAAGCAGCAGTCAAGTGTTTCCATTAATAATATTTACATCTCAATTGCAATACTTGCTTCATATATCATGTATACAAATGAGGCATGAAAAACATGCTGCTCTTGGAAATTCTTTGGTGCTTATTAGACAGGAGATAGTAAAAAAGAAATAATTTCTCTGACCTATAAACACTCTAAAACTTTGTTCTTTTTCTTGAATCATCTTACCACAGGAGCAATTTTACAAAAGCAATGTGAATTTTATTTTTGCAAAGGAAAAGTATTGGTGTAGATGTGGTATGCATGTGTAGTTCACACCAAGTTGCACTAGTGCTTTTCAGTTTGTCCATGGAAGTGGTGCTTTCCATGGAAGATGGAGCAATGACAAAAGCCTGCTGCTTTGCTCCAAATGGCCATTTCAACATGTACTCAACTAGAGACAATCTACCTAGTTGCCCATCTTATCCTCAGGAGTGAATTGAGTTTTCCATTTGAGATACAGAGGAGGATTGAGTCACTTCTGTGGAAAGAATGTTATGGATTGTGAAGCCTGTGTCAGGTTGAAATACATGAGTTGTCTTTTAAATATTGAAACTGGCTACACTACATCACACCTAGAGGCAGTATCACAAAACTGATTAAAGTAGTTGATCTAAGTAATTATGGCTATTATGAGAGAAAATTCTGTCACATACAGGGTGGGCCCTAAATATTTACACCACATGTAATTTTTCTAATTCTGCATGCTTATGAAAACAATGATGCATACACACATATTGCTGGATGCACATGACTAGTGCAGGATCCTATAGCTGCATTTGGTGCTGAAACCCTATGACATCCTGCACATTCCCCTGACATGGCCCCCTCTCATTTTTATGTTCTCTCCCAAAACTGGAGTACAAGCTGAGCAGATACCAATTTAGCACTGACATGGAGCTCAAAGCAGCTGTGATAATGGAGCTTGGATACATGTTCCAGAAATCCTTGACTGGCTCATTATTTTCTACATTCTTGACTGTACATACTACTTCATCCCACTCTCATTTCTCTTTTGTAAAAAGCATGTCTAGTAAATAAAGGTCATAGATTAAAAAAACTTCCAAAATTTATCAAGTTTCAAGGATAGAGATATGCAAATACAAACAAATTTCCTGTGCTAACTGCTGTCAAATAAATGCAAAAGAATTTCAAGGAGTGATACAATTTTCATGCCTCATTCAGAACATACACATGGTTTAGCAAAAAAGATGCAAGCTAACAAACTTAAATATCTTCTCTCTTGTCAAATATATTTTTATGAAGCATGCAAATACTGATAATAACAGACAATTTGAAGTTCATCTAAATTTATTATGCCCCATAACATGAAGTAATTGAACAAATACTTGAAATTAAACAATGGATGAGGGCCTTAGGATTGGACCTCATGCTTCAGTCCTGTCCCATCCCATCAATTTTACTTAGCACTAGTCATCTCCTCAGTAACTGAGGCAAAATATGAACAAGTTCTAACTCTTTACTGACACCTACTTATCAATCAGTCATGAATGGGAAAAGCTAATCTAAAGCATATTGAAATGCAGCTATAATACAGAGTCCAAATGGAGATGTTCGATGACGGGGCTAAGGCAGTTTCTTCACTTGCCTCCTACCAGAGGCTCCCATCCATTTGCAATATAAGACTTCCTTTCAGTAATCACTCTTAGCCATGCCTTGGCAAAAGAAATAAAATATTTCCCAAGTCTGCTTGTTAAATATCACACTGAGAACAGTGGAATTTTTTAAAACATTTTCTGTAAATACCATATATGAGCTCAAAGTTAGCTATCTTTTTTTCCTATACTCTGGATAATACTGTGCAGGATGATACAAAACCATCTTGTTAACAGTAGAATGGCAATGAGTTTCAAAGTTATTACTCATGAAGCTATACAGTAATTGCCACTTCCATCACACAACTACATAGAAACAAAGCACCTATAAAATAATACTATATATTCAACATTACATCACAATTTTATTTTTAAAAAATGAAAAAATGTGACAGACAATAGTTCCCAGCCATTGTGTCGCAACCCCATTCGGCATTGCAAAGCCGCCTGGCAAGGTGATTTTTATTATCATGCTATATGCATGGTGATTATTAAACTTTCATTATAATGCCATAATTTCGACAGGCGAATGTTGATCTTGTCAAGACATTATGTTCAGTTCAAAAGAATTTGCAGCTGTCTCAAAGGTCACACTTAGGAAAAGGTTGGGAACCACTGGTGTAAGGCAAACACCTAGAAATGAGAACCTATTGCAAATGTTTAAACCCTTTCTTGGAGAGTATCTGAGTGGTCTGGGAGGAACAATAAGAATGGTAGCTTGACATCCATGCCCACTGAAACCAAATCAACCACATCATAAATGAGAGTAAAAGATTAGGCTTATCCCCATTTTCCCAATCCTGCATCAACACACTGCAATATATCCTGTCTGTCCCCTTTAACCTCTAAACTGGGGAGTTTTTTTGCTGCAGCATCCACTAGTTTGCAGAATATCTCTAAGTATGTGGAGTATGCATGTCCCTTTTGGTTTCCACTCAGAATTTTGCAGGCAAACTAAATGCAGGGATGTCTAAATGTGGTAATTGCAGTACCAGAGTAAAAATTTTAATGCCAAATGGCAGTCACCTCAGTTAAGGAGTTATTATGAAAGGCCAATAGACACATCCATCTTACTTCAAGTGCTAAAACTGTCCTGCTCACATGTAAAAAAAATATCAAGTACAGTCAAACCTTGTTATAATAAGGTCTAAGGGACCAGAACCAAAATGTAATATAAGGAGGCTGTTATTATATCAAGGGATTTACTCACCAATCCATATGAATTCTTGTATGTAGAATATAAAGTAGAATATTGTATGTAAAATACGTACAGTAAATCCCTTGATATAATAAGAACCTCCTTATAATACATTTTTGTTCTGGTCCCTTGGACTTAATTATAATGAGGTTTGACTGTAGTCCCTTTTTTTCAGAAAGGCAGCATATTAATCCCTTAAAAGCCCATTAAAAGGAAAATAAGGATAGCTACTTTAATAAGGTGTGTCTTCTTTCAATGAACAATTGCAACAGTATCTACAAGTCTAAAGTGAGGATGGTAAGACGGAAAGAGAGAAAAAGCTTGCCGTGATAGACATCCCGAGACCTTCATGGGGATTCTTGTGGATGATAACACGTCTGACAAGGTTATCCAAAGTCCTGAGGTCATGATTGGGGAGTCCAAAGTGATTGGTGCGATTCTGGCATGCACGAATCACTGTCTTGTGTCGATGGAGATGGATCTCCCCCTCCAATTGTCCCCACATTCGATCATGCTCTGGTCCTCTAAACTCTCTTGCCAAAAGTTGGATCTGCTGGATCCTGTTCACCATGGTTTCAATAAGAGGTTTTGCATTCAGCTCAAATATCTCAGAATCTCACTGTCACTTTATCCTAGTATCATGGCAATTAGTGGTAGAGGCAAGAGGCCATGAGAATCATCATACCATCCTGTGTCCCATTGGTATGTTGTGAATAAAACCAAATCTTATTCTCATTGCTTAGGAAAATAAAACCAGAAGTGCTTAATTGGGTGGAATCCTACATAAACATCACATATGTGCTGTGAGTCATTGAAAATGTTACTTACTGGAAACCTGTCACACATTCACTACCAGACCACTTTTTTCACCCTACACTTTTCCAGCAAATTCATATTTAAGGAATCCAGACAGCAGTCTAATTCCTTCCAATTGATGTACAGTTTGTTCATTGGAAGAATGTCTACTCTCCAAGAACACTGGTATTCCTAGTTTTTCAGCTAAAAAATAAGGCCCAAATGCTGGAACCCGCTGAAGTTAATGGTCCTTCAGGAATACATGGACTCCTATGGGGTGCTATAACTTAACCCTTTGCAATCCATTTTATTTGTAATTCTCTTGAGATTGCCAGACTATGTCTGACAGTGGACTGTAAAGGGTTAAAGACCCCTTCATCTCCCCTAAATGAGGTTTGTGGCATTTGGATCTACAAATGTATATAATCATGGTGGATTGGTCATTTCTTTCATGAACAACACCCCAGATCACCTTGTCCATTCACAGAATTAAAAAAAACACACAGAAGTTGAGCATAATTATATATAACAGTTGTAAAACATGATTCCTCTTTGGAATCATGACAGTTCAATTTTTCTGGCAGAATCCCTCAGTAAGTAAATTGTTCAACTCTGACTTTTTGAAGTTTGAGCAATATTATCTTGAAAACATAGAATCCAAAACAACTAATTTCTAAGCAACTAAGTTCAATTAATGCTTGCATGGAAATTCATAAACACCAATTCTTAGATCATCTCAGCAGTCCTTTCCTTGCAAAGTTATCAGGCATACCTGCCAGCAAGCTCCTTGTCCAAGTACTTGGCAGCAAGACGGGCTCCATAGATCTCACTCTGGAGAGCAAGGACAAGATTGCGAAGACGCCGATTATCATCTTGGAGGTGACACAGTTCCTCCATTTTCACTTGGTTCCTCTTTCCTTCCTCTATGTGCCGACTCACCTCCTCTTCCTAAAATGAATATCACTTGCAGTGAGAACATATAACTGGTGAGTGGAAAATGGAATTCAATGGAGTGATTAGTGAATGGCTCACCAGGTTCTGCCGAATCCTTTCTGACGTGGGTGAAGAGTTCCCCTGTTCTTCAAAGAGACGTAACTGCATTTGATGCAACTGTGCAATGAGGTGAGTGATTTCCACCTTGGATGCAGCTTCCTTGGCTCGAGATTCCATAAGCTCTGCCTTAAGTCCCACACACTCTGCCTGAGGGTGAATCCATACTTCAGTCATTGTGCTCATAATGAAAATTAACTGCACACCACTTTATTTACATGTAATTCAATAAAAGATTTTGTAATTCAAGAAAAATGCAAGTTAGGGTTGAAACAAAAGCTGTGAAAGGGAATGCTTAGACCTTAGGGTATGGTTACAGCTTCTACCCCTGTCACTTCCAGAGCTTCAGAAGCATGGTATTTCCAGCTCAAAGTGAAAATGGTAGTTCAAAGACAAGTAATACTCCATAGAGTATCCTCTTGTTGCTTAGCCTTGTTCAGTTCTTGCTTACTATATCCCTGGGTATATCATGCTTTTCCTTCAGTGAAAGTGGAAAATAGAAAGAGAATAAAGGGAAGGGCAAGGAAGAAAGGAAAACACAAATATTAATTCTGCAAATCAGTAAAGTTTCCAAAAACTTGCACACATTTTACCAGTAAAAAAAGGGATTCTACAGTATCTTGAGACACTGTTGAGTGAGTGAGATAGACTCCTTCTAGTTGAGTTTAATCCTTCTGCAGTTGAGTCCAACAGGTGCTTTACTTACTTCAACTTTTTTTTCTTTCAATATGCAGCAGAAAACAGATTTTTTTGGTAGCAGTGCACTAGCAGGAAGGACATGCCTTCATGACATAGACACCACAACCAATACTACCCAATGGTTTAATCCCTGGACAACTTGGGCAATGAATTTTAAATTTGCAGGACCTTTATACAGCGTTAGAAGATCTGGGGAATTTTAAGTTCTTTCTAATTATTGATATATGCATGGAAAAAAGGGATGTCTATTTCATCATTGATCTGCACAGGTCATTTATTATTGTGTTGGTATACCATGAAGTTAACGTTGAAGGTCACTGCAAATTCATTCCTTTTTTTTAATACATTCTAGACAATAAAAAGCAGGATACATGAGATGTACCTTCCTTCATAGATCAGAGTTCATCTGGATCTCACTCCTAATGTTCTTTAAATCTTCAACATTAAAAAATAAACATTTTTTAGTTATTTCCTCCCTCTCAGACAATTAGCAATATTGATTAAATGCTAACAATTCCTTCTGGGAATGATAAAAAGAAAAGGGGCATTTGTTGAACTCTCCCAGGTTATTCCATTCATAAACTAAATAATGTCAATCAAAAGGGTGCTGCAACTTCTGGACACCCTACAATCAGCATCAATCTTGTGGTGCTTTGAACAAGAGTGAAAAGAATATCTGGAATGCAGACATTCCAGGTATGGGATCTACTCAAGACCTCCATCAATCTCATCTGTAGAGTACTCAGGAATAGGTGAAATCACTGAAACCCATAAATCTCCCCAAATCTCACTATCTCCAAAATTCGCATTACAGTACCTTCTTAAATTTTAATTTTAACAGTACAGCAGCTGCCAGTAAAAAAAAAAAGGAATATTTTTATCATCAGACCCGTCAGTCGAAGCCTAGTATCACAATAAAAAAAAAATCATCAGTGCATCTACCTCATCCATAGTTTTAAAGGTGTTTAGTGGTGATCAAGCTGAGCGTATGAGGTCGCCATGCCAACGTCAATCGGCAGGAGCCAAAAATCTGAGTGTCTCCCCCTTCTTTGCAGCAAGTGCACATTCAAGTTTGAAAAAGATACTCATTTTTTCGAGTTTCTGTATATGAGAAACAGACGCATGTGTTTTAAGGACAGTAGAGAGGCACGGCGGAAGCGGACCTTGGAAGGAGAAATTGCACATGTAACATGTCTGCTTTCTCTCCATCCCCTCCCGATCTGAGTCCGGGGGACAGAAGCGTAACCGATGACGTCAGAAACATGCTCTTCCCTTCAGTTTAATTCCCTTCCCGGACGGCGTGGCTTAGGCTATCAACAGGCATATTACATAATATTCACGGGATTACAGAGGGCTCCATGTAAGAGCGTCCTTTCATTTTTTTCTGCTAAGAAACGTGAGGGAAGGGACAACTCCTGGCTCCACAACTTCCCCTTCCTAGTGCTCATTTGGGTGCATATCCAACCTATAGATTGGCGGGTCATTCAACACCACTGGACCGGCTCAGCGATCCAGCGCGGGGCTTTACATCGACTCTCATCAGATATATATGCATTTCATATATACCTGAGACTTTCAGAAACATTACAATGCATAATAAATATATTTAAATATACATAAATTGTGGTTTTCTTGGCGGGTAGATCACTGACGTGTCACGCCTGGACTGAAGGGTGGGAATGTAAGGGAAGGATTACAAAGACGATTCATACGATCGCTCGAGGGAGGAAAGAAACGTGATGCAAAAGACGGAGAGGAAAAGGGAAGGAGAGCAAAAGACAGAATGTCACATGTTTACAACACGCCAGTCTGTGTCATGTATAAGACTTACAGACTAGAGGTAGGGGAGGAGGAAGGCTTCTCAACATGGATCCCAGTCCCCAATTTGTCATTATCCTCGTCTCTATGTGCACTGGCCTGAGTCATGCCTTCTCTCTCACAAAGCAATCACCGTTACCATCACCACCATCATCATCGCACTCAAATAATCCGGTGAGTGTAAATTAATCAGGTAAAGACCAAAGATTCCTTTCAAGCCGCCATTGAAATCTGCTCCGTGGATTGTACAGCAACACACTGCCAGGCCACTTCAGGTGTTTTTCTGTTTCAGGTGCTTTTCAGGATCTTTCTTCCCTCCTTTTCCTCTCTCACGCGCACAGGAGAATGACGGTGAGAGCAATCCGTTCCTGGATCCAAGCAATATTTGCCCCTGAAGTACCTCCATAACTCAGAATAGCTCAGTCCCTTCATTAAAAAAATATGGCAGGGTGACCTCTCGAACTCCCTAATGCGAGGAAAAGTTTTTTGGTTCTTCAATTTTACTCACTTCTCAGATCCAAGTTAACAATTCACAGAGATATAGTCGGATTCTCCCGAAATAATGGAATTATCTTGACTTCTCATGGTCGTTTTGGTGATTTTCCTCACATAAAAATTATTTATTTCGAACAATTTCCATCCCAGATTATTGTTCACTTCTGTGAGTGGCCAATAATATTTTTGCCCATTCCTTCAATTTTCACAAAATCATGATAAATTTTCCAATTTGTATTTATTTATTTAAACTCTGTAAACCTGAGAGACTACGCGAAAATAGGAGACTAGTATTATCCACTAACTAGTCAACAAATTTTGCAGCCTTGAGGTCCAAGAGGTTCCTCGCATTCGAAAGTTACCTCTTGGACCAAACTTCGCTAACAGTTAGCGAAAACGTAAATTACCTATTTACCTGTAACTCCCTCATACAGCAGTTGCTTTCAGTGAAAATGTTTTTGGATGGATCTTTAAGGGATCTATAACTAGACTAAAAAAAAAAATCCAAAACTATTAAGGGGAGACGATGAGCAAAAATTTTTCGAAAAAACTCGAATTTTTCCAAAAAAAATTTTGCCCAAAAACATTCTAACATTCAGCTTTCAGAAAGACCTAGTTTCAGTATGTTGCGATTATGATTTCTCACATTTCAGGCCCATATTCTGATAATAGCAAATATTTTCGTAGAAAACAACAACCAAATTTATGAACGTGAATATTACTTCTACTGCTTCTACTGCAAAGGAGTGGAACTTTATGAACTTTTCAGGGGGGGGGGGTTAGATACAGAGACTACTACTACAAATAGTCGTATCTGTATAATCGGTTAATAAGGCCAAATACGTGGGGAGGTCGGAAAGTTCGCGGATTTTCACATTTTCCGGCGCCATTGAGTGATGAGTGATTGTGGCCCATTCAATTGATATCTCTTGAGCCCTTTCAACAATTTTTTAGAATTTTTAATACCGTACAGAAAGATGGAGACCCGTCAGAAGCGAGACGGCACTGTGAATGTTCGCGAGATTGTGAAATTTTCGGCGGAACAAAAACGAGCGATCCTCCTCTACCACTTTCGGAGCGGTTTGAAACCGCAACAGGCGTTCGAAGAGATGAAGAAGAACATCGGGGATGATGCTCCAGGCACTACCATGGTCTTCAAGTGGTTTCAACGATTCGAAGTTGGTCATTTTGAAGTCACCGATGATCCACGAAGTGGGCGTCCAAGAACTTCGACAGACGACGGAATGGTTGCTGCCGTGGCAAAATTCCTGGAAGAAGAACCCTCTGCGACCACAAAACGACTTGCCGACGTCTTTCATAGTGCCTGGAGCATCATCCCCGATGTTCTTCTTCATCTCTTCGAACGCCTGTTGCGGTTTCAAACCGCTCCGAAAATGGTAGAGGAGGATCGCTCGTTTTTGTTCCGCCGAAAATTTCACAGTCTCACGAACATTCACAGTGCCGTCTCGCTTCTGACGGGTCTCCATCTTTCTGTACGGTATTAAAAATTCTAAAAAATTGTCGAAAGGGCTCAAGAGATATCAATTGAATGGGCCACAATCACTCATCACTCAATGGCGCCGAAAAATGTGAAAATCCGCGAACTTTCCGACCTCCCCACGTATTCGAACTATTAGTTCATGAAAACCAATGCAAAGCATTTTCACATGCGACGCAATTTGATTATTATATAGGTGGAGAATGTTAACATCACATAATCGAATTCATCACCGCATGACATTATTTGGCATGCTCTACACATTTAGGTAAAAATTAATCATGACTCTGAGACCATTTTTCTCCTTAATATGGTCAAAAATTGTGCATGTTCAAATCAATAACTACGTAGTTAGGCCAAAGGAGGACGACATTTTTATATCATGTGGTAACCTGTGCTTTCTAGTATCAGCATGAAAATGTATTTAAAAAATCTGCGATGGAGTTTTTGAGAGAAAAAATTATATTCCCGCCATTTTAGGAAAAGGATAAATTTGTCATTTAATACATTAGTTTTTAGTAACCTACAGTATGTAAATTATTTTTGGAGATACAATACAATAAGGAGATACCGAAAGTGGGGGAAAACAGCGAATTGGAAAGTCGCCCTTTTTTAGAGCCCTCCACACAAATTTTTTTCTCCGTAACCATGGCAGATACATAGGTGAATGAGTTACCAAATTTCATCACTTGGATGACTTGGATTACTTTTGACTGTCAAAATACGAGCATGCACATTCCTGATAACACCAAAAATGTGTTTTTGAGCGTTTCTTGTTGAGATGGATGGAAGAAAATATTATTTAAAAAATTAATTAGGTGCCTTATGCTTTCGCGAACTGTAAATGTTCCCGCCAGTAACTACTGTCAGGTTTTCTTCTGCCAGGTATAATGGCACTGCTTCCACGCTGGCGCAAATGTGTGGAACGTAATGGGGACTATGTGGAAAAATAAATATACAGAAATTTTCACACATGTTATTGCTAACTATTACTGTGTACTTGCGTTCAATAGTGATAAATCATTTGTCTGAAAAAAAATCGGGAGCATTACTTTTGGGGTGACCCTCGTATTTTTTGAAAGAGTCCAAGAGTATGCCCTGACACGAAAACCATGGACATGTTTGATTTAAATGAAACCATCCTAGTATACTTTTGACTGTCAAAATACGAGCATGCACATTCCTGATAACACCAAAAAGCACAAAAACTCGCAAAGAACAACTCTACCTACCTTCTTTTATAATAAATTTTTTAATTAATCCACGGAATACGAAAGCGCTTGACATTTACAAGGGCGGTCATTGATGACAGTCCAAAAGAAGACGGACTAAGACAACGCTTTCCTAACCCATTGAGGATAACAGATACACACCTCTTTAACAAATAAGCAGTCAAACTGAAAGGAAAAACTTGCATTAGTAACATGACATGAACATACAAGGAAAGATCAATCAAAACCAAGGACAAATTTTTTTTAAATTTGTTCTGCTGACCTTTATTCGAGGTACTTCCCTTACGTACGGAGACGTACACATAAACATGCAGTACGTGAAATACAAACAATGCAGTTACGTCAACTGTGGTAGCACCTTCCGCAATACATAATGCTGTCAGCAGTCAAAATGACATGAATGCGACCAGTGCATTGTGGTGCAATTTTTGATAGCTGAAGGATCAACGAATATATACAGGAGAATGGTAGCTGCAAACGGCGACAACAGCTTTCTAAATCCTGAGTGCGCAAATGAACTGCACTGAGTCCATTGGAAGAAACCTGTCGGAAGACTCACAAGATGGCCTTATCCTTCACGATAATGACTAGCTGCACACAGAAACAGCAACTGTGAACACACCATTGTACAATGGTAGGTTGGGAAGTTCTGGTGCACCCCTCCTATAATTCGGACTTAGCTCCGTGCGAGTTTCATGTGTTTGGTTGGCCTTATTAGCCCTCTAACCACTGTTCTGGGTCCAATATACCCTGATATAAAAATGTTGCCCTTTGAGTAAGCTGCGCCGTAAACTCCCAACACCCCGTGTACTTTCATGAAGACATGTGATAGCAATTAGGCAACGTATTTTTAAAGTGATTTTTGGGGGGAAGGAAGAGACGAAACCAAGAATTAAACATATGACCATCCGGGTTCTGTTATTTACAAGGGTTAATCGTAATTTGAAGGAGGAAGCAGTTGCACTGAAGCGAAGAACGTAGTACGAGAAACTGAGGTGTGGGGCGTGTTCCAGCTTTAAAACACCCTTTAACGCAAAAATACTTTCCTTGAAGCTTGATAGAGACGTTCGGGTTGTCACAAATCTTCAACTCCTGTACATGGAATATCAGACGGAAGGTATCCAGACGAGAACAGGTCGAATAATTTCTTCTGAAATTCGAGGCTGCTGATACCATGAAACCTAGTACATACCTTTACAATGCCTAAAAAAAAAGTGCTTATATACGAGGGGCGTACCAAAAGTAATGATCCCTTATTTATTCCAGTAGAACGACTATTCAGAAAAGCCTGAGATTTTATTCGCACAAAATATGTTTTTGCCACAGATGGACATCAAGAATTTTATTGTTTATGTCCAGGTGGCAGCACAGTAGCCATTGAAAATGGCGCCAACTATGGATGGTGTACTGAAACAAAAAAACTGATATTGACTCCAACGGTGACTCCAACAACGTTATGCACGTGAGAAAAGGGAGGGTTCTGCATTTCAACCGTGGAAACAGTGACAACGAAGGAAACCCACGTTCAGGCAGGCCATCCGGCACTGACACCTGACAGCAAAACGCATGTGGATGAACTGATCCGAAATGATCGTCGACTGACTGTTACCCAATAAATGATCGTCACGTAACAGTCAGGGAGGGAGGGCGTCGTGCAACACCCGTTTTCCTGTCAAATGTCACGGTGCTGGATGGCCTGCATGAACTTCATGATGTCTTCGATGTCAGTTTCCACTGTTGAAATGCAGAACCCACCGTTTCACTATTGCATAACTGTTGCTACACTCACCATACACATTCGGCAGCAACAGAATGTTTTCAAGGGTTAAATATTCTTTTGTGAGGAACTTAAGTTTTTTTTTGCTTCAGTACACCATCCATAGTATGCGCCATTTTCAATGGCTATTGTGCTGCCACCTGGGCATAAACAATGAAATTCCTGATGTCTATTAGCGGCAGAAACATAATTTTTTGTTAATAAAATCTCCTCAAGCTTGTCCGAATAGTGGTTCTCTAATATGTATAATAAATTAGGGCTCATTACTTTCAGTACGCCCCTCGTATTCAGGGCCGACCAGAGAGAGGGGGGCAGATGGGGCAATCTGCCCCGGACCCCGCGTATCAAGAGGCCCCTGGGGGGGGCCCCCAAAGGGCCGCAAGGGGGTCCCCAAGGGGTCTCCGGTTTAGTATTGCCCCGGGCCCCTGGAAACCTCTGGGTGGCCCTGCTCGTATTATTTTATGTCTCCATCCTACATTGTGCGTGCCTCATATTCTTCGGCACAAGAAACCTCAAGATAAACAAGGAAAGTTTCTGACAAGTATTACAAAATGTCATACAATGTTACGTATGGAATAACTTTTCAAGTCGAAGTATCGAACATCGCAGGAGAAGCAACCTGCGCGTTGCTTCTCAAGGTTGTACTATATTGAACTTAAATTAAATATTTTGTGCTAGTTAGAAAGAGAATATATTAAGCTTTCTTCTGCTGAAAACCACACGAAATCGACTATGTATGAAGCGAGATATGGAACAGTGAAAATTACACTCAAAAGAAATTTACAATCACTAAAGGACACGTTCAAGGCGTGCTCAAGGTGCGTTCAAGTTGTGCTAGATGAGATTGAGAGATGAGCCACTAGGAAGATTCTTTCGTTCGATTAATTCTGCAGCATTTTTGCTGACAAATCCCCAAGAACCAGCAATTGTGTGTAGAGTCTTCCGGCAGTACACGTGGATCACTAGTTTCTTCAAGTGCCTGTGCTGCTGGATTCTTTACATAGGCTGTTCGCAGTGGTTCACAAGTATGCCTGAATTTTGCCAGTGTAAACTTTGTCTTTCCATATTTCGCCTCTGAGTTCGTTGATCGTGCAATTTACAGCAATCAAAAGCTTAACCTCTGCTCGCTTTAACTGTTACAAAAGATTTTACTCGAATTTATTATCGTACAAGAAATTTCAATTATTGTAGTGTTAACTATTTGTTAGACGCTCTGTAATAATACCAACGGCTATGAAATCCCCACAGATAGTGGACTGGGTCAATGGATACAAATAGAGGAGCGGGAAGCATTGATGAAATCAATTGAGCTCTCTACGATGATCGAGTCGCAGGCATCATCCTTAAGCGACCAACCAGGCGATAGAACCGCAGCCTGGAGAAAAACTAGTTGGTAAGAAGCGAGGTCAAAGGAGGCCAGAAACTTAAAATAAATAATGGGATCCTTTAAAAGGAAACGAATGCCGCAGTCATAGGATAAAATATGACCCGGAATCTTAGAAAGAATTTCATCAGTCCACTAGTTAGTAGTCACCCTGAGAGAACCATCGTGTTTTGGTGAATCAGCCCAAATTTCACGCTGCAAATTGATGTTGCTTAGGTCTTTTCTATAAAAGCCACAGTGATGAAAAGATTTTTAGAGACGCTTTATGGGGGAGTCGATAGAATTGTTGCCATCTCTGGAATTGTCATGATCTGATTTGTGACCTCCGGAGCCGTTGGTCGATGTTTGACATGGAACTATTCAATACTTCCAAAAATACAGCAATGCTTTCACTGTTGCGATGGGGAATTTTTGATTTGCATGTATTTGTGGGTGGAACATGATCGTGATAGCGGAGCCAAACTGTGAATTAATCCGGCAGGGATGGGAAGAGATGGAAGGAGGAATGGGGAGTAGGCTGGAAGAGGCAGCGGACAAGGACAAAAACATGGACACAGATATCCGACTGGCCACCTTAGATGCCAGAACAAAGGCCATCGAGGACCAGCTGTCGTCCCTCCGAGACTCCTTGGAATTCAATGGATTTGAGAACGTGAGGGCCCAGGGAGAGGTGGAGATTCTCCATCGGCTGGAAATCTTAGAATCCAGGATGGAACAACAGAATCAACGCCTTCAGGAATCTTTCAACAAGGCCGTTTTTGACATCCAGGTATTCCCCACCTAGAAAATGCTCTTTGCGAATCCCTGTAAATCACTCTCCATACAACTGAGTAAAGCCACTGGCATCAGGTATAAAACATGAAGACCGACTTATTTCATTCCACATGTCTTCTCCAGCATTATGAATGCAGTTATAATTTTGATACAAAGTTCACCCAACTATGTCCACGAGTACCAAATATAGGTGTGCTGCAAACCCTAATTCCAAGAGCCCTATTTCAAACGAACCCGAACCGGACGCAAACTAGCAGTTAATTTAAACACCACGGAATCCTAACCGGGCGCGAACTGAAGCGAACCTCGGATTGGGCGAATCCGAACCAAACACGAGCTCCTTTTACAGCGAGAATGAGATCGCGTTCGGTTAGGGTTAGCCCAATCTACAAGATGCCATGGAACCTTCCCCCCCTTTCCCCCTTCTTCACCTCCACGTAGCAGAACTGAAGAGCAGTGAAGCAAAACATGCTTTACTTCTGATTTAAGCATTCTATTCTACATTTCAAACCTTGAATTGTAGCGCATGAACTCATTATCATCGGCCTAGATGAAGCTGAACCCAATTGTTACAAACTGGAATTGTATCCTAATGGATTTCTTGCGAATTTTGGAACTTGAACTTGAACTCAACTTGTGCAAACTCAATAAGGAGTGAATTTGATTGTTCTTACATTTTAGAACCTGAATTGAATACAAGCCAAATGGAAGCGAACCCAAACTCACTTAGCAAGGGTTCATCCCAACTATAGTACCATGGGCATGTTGAATGTTCACAAATGGTGTATACTTTGTATACCTTGTATATATTCAGTTCCAACAGTGTGAAAGAATGAAAATGAAAAGTAATGTTGAAAAAAAAACTGAAAACAGGCAGGATGAATTCTTTGAATCTCTCTGGTTGACTTTCCTATAGACTCGGATGACATCTCTGTTGGAAAGGAGCATGAAGAACCATGAGAATGGACAGAAGAGGCATAGACATACACTGGACACCCTGGATCAAATCCACCACCAGTCCTCCCATGTCAACACACATCTCACAAGAGTCAACAACTTCCTCCAGGATTTCTCCCCTCTCATGAGACAGCAGTTGGAGACCGTTGACCGAAAGGTGTCATCTCTCATGGAACAAGGGAGTCAAGTTGCTACCCAGCTCACAATCCAGTCTAAAATATTAAGGGACATGGAAGCCATAGACAATAGGACAATGGCAACCATGAACATGATGGCCAAGGAGCTGATGGAGTTTGAGGAAGCAGCTTTGGATACAGTGGCATCTCTGGATCGAATAGTGTCTCGGGCTGGGGAACCAGAAAGGTGTCATGAGGAACTCACCTCAAAGCTTTCTGATGGCCTACTGGAGATGTCCCAAATGACTGATGTCACCATCTCAAGGGTACAAGAGGTAAATGACAGTATGGAGATGGCCTTGAAGTCCCTCTCAAGGATAGAGAAGGCTGAGGAAAGTCAGCTGTTAAGGATAGAAGAAATTGAAAAGAAAGTTGATCTGTTACTCCATCAACAAGGACTACCTTCAATAGGAACAAAGGAGGGAGAGCCAGAGCCTCAGTCATCCTTCAAGGAACACATGGCAAGGCTGGAGACTCTTGAAGAAACAATCAGAAACTTCATCAATAACAAGGTAATACTCTCTATGCTCTGGGTACTCAGCCAGCACAAATAATTCATTGCCACTTTCTTTAAAATTCATCCCACCTTGATTTTTTTATTCCAGTTGGCAAATATGTATGAGAGTTTATGGAAGAAGCACCTGGCACTGGAGAAAGAGGTTGGGAGTTTGCAGGACCTAACAAAGTCTATTCAAACTCAAGTCCTGGAAAGTGTGCAAGACCTCGAGGAACTACTTACAGCTGGAAATGCCCCCCAGAAGTCCAAAGGTAATAACAGTGATGTGTTCTTGCCTTGACCTTTATCATGATCACATTATCATAAGATACAGGGTCATGCAGGTTGTGGCAAAAAAAAGACCAATGACTTTCAACTTTAATATCTCTGCTCACAATGGAGCCACTTCTGCTAAACTTTCACTAGGCATATATGAGTATGTTTCCAAGTGATTCTCAAAATTCCATCAGAATTTGTCAAGCTGAAGAAATTGTATCAGCATGTATTGAAAAGAAGTTAGACATTGAGAATGGACAAACAGAGCTTTTGCTGGCAATGGGTACACTCAAGCACATATACTCCTTCCTGGTTTTCAAGACCATGTTGAACTTCTCTTCCACTTAAATTCATTCTTTGGGCTGGTCATCTTTTGCAAACAGTTATCATTCAAAATGAATAGCAGATGAATTAATCAGTATCCAGAGACTTTTCACATATTAGATTCAAAATTTCCCATGGTTTACATCAATCTGAGTATCCCAGGTATTGCCAAAAAAGGCCAATGACTTAAAGTGCATCTTATGATTGCTCAAGTCATATCACACAAAATGTGCTGTGAATGAAACATGTCTCTGCTTATTTGAAAGTCAACAAGGCTGCTAAAACCCATTATTTTGAATTAAAGTTGTAATAATGATATTCTGCGATAAATCTGACATTTGGAGTGGACAGCACCTTTATAAGACCAAATTTTGAATAACTTTGAGAAAACTCTAGATTGAAACTCACTGATTCATCTGCTATTCATTAGTAATAAGCTCTTGAAAACCATCTGCAAGATATGACCATCCCAAAGAATGAATTTAAGTGGAGGAGAAGTTCAATGTGGTCTTGAAAACCAGGAAGGATGGTGCTTGAATGTATCCTCCACTCCATTACAAGCAAAAGCTATTAATGGAGTGGAGTACTGTTTGTTCATTCTCAATGTCTAACTTCTTTTCAATAAATGCTGATAGAATTCCTTCAGCTCAACAAATTCTGATGAATTTTGAGAAGCAATTGGAAACATGCTCATATATGCATGAAGTGAAAGTTTAGCCGAAATAGCTCCATTGTGGGTGGAGACATTAAGGTTAAAAGTCTTTAGTCTTTTTTTTTTGCTATACCCTGTATATGAGAGGAACATTATTGGTATTGAACCTAAAACTCTGACTCATTGCATATGAATTAAACTACATTGAATGGATAATTCCTTATAAAAATCATTTGGGAAGATTCTGAGTCTAACAGACAGTATTTACATAGCCATACATTTAAATTTAAAATCATTGCAGATCATTCAAATATGCTGCATAGGAAAGCACTAGAGGATCAACTGATACATCAAGTGCAGATATAAATATGCCAATATTTGCATTTTGGCTAGCATTCACATCACCTCTTTCATCTCTGCTGATTTTGGCCAACATTTAGAAAAAGTTTCATAAGATAGGATGCTAGAAAAAAAAAGACCAAAAACTAACTTTCCATGACCCTAGGAAACCCCAGCATGCATAAAGTAAGTCAACAACGGTGATGTTCAAAAAGCACAGGAGACATGGATCTCTAGCTTCTTCATGTTTTTAGTTTTGCATCTAGACCTATGCCTATTAAGAGCTGTGGGAATGAGCAAAAGGGAAGAACAAAGTTTAATAGCTAAGACAATCAGCCCCTTTCCAGGGGTCTAAGAAACTTAGCATTGTACATCTTCTGGTGTGCATTTGCCTTCTCTATGAACAATCCAATAGTTCACTATGCACACTTCACAAGTTGTGAAGTTTGCATAGTGAGCAATAGTGAAGGTTGCGAAGTGTGCATCCTCCTTTCATCATCTAGGTGAGTTACATGCCCCCTGCTCCATGAGACTCCTGAGTGTGAGAGCAGTGTGATTGGGACTCCATTCCAGAATAGATTAGAAGTGCACAGATTCATAAGATCCCCTCCACCACAGCTAACCATTATATTCCTCCAAATGTTTTCTTTCTTAGGCCTGCATGAATATGTACAAAGATGTTCTTTGGCAACCTTGACACAGGAGTACATGCATGCAACCTTTCATGGATAGTGACATTTTTAGGAAATCTGAATAGGCCACAGCAGCTGCTATTCCAAATATTGGGGGCAATTAAGCTCCCACAGCTTCCCTAATTCATTTTGATATTTCCACTGGACCTGTAGGTGATGATCAGAAATCAGGTGAAAACGGCTCAGGAGAGGAGCATAGTCAATTCAAAGGATATATTCAGAACCTCATGAACCATGTGGAGGAGGGATTCCGAAATCTCTTCAACAGCCAATCAATGTTCATCATGTTATGCCAAGGCAACCAGCAGAAGGAACCCGAATTGGAGATGAAATTTGAGATCATGGAGATGATTTCTGACATCATGGAGGGAATCACAAACATACAAAATGGGTGAGCTAACTCATATTTCATTGCAGAGCAGGATAGTCTTGTACTAAAATGAGCATGTCTACACTATACTAAGGGCTACACAGAGCATAAAATATCTTCAGTTCTACAGTGCAGTCTAATGCATATGCATTAAAAAATGGGAATCAAAATTACACTGAGTGATGTGATGCATGAGAGATATACCTGCTGCATCATGATGTATATAGTAAATCTAGATATCTATGCTCTTGGAAGCAAGAAAAATATTTTCTCCTGAGGAACTCACAATCATGGACCATGGACAAATGCACAAGGTTCCAGACAGGAAACAGTCCAGTCACTCACAAAGGGGGCTCTCTATCATTCCACATTTAATATCACAGCCAAGAATTGCCATTGGCTTTAAAGTGAAGTGGTTAAAAGTTTAGAACTAAATATGTGCATTGAGTGAGAACTATGGACACGGGTTGAACGGCAGAGTTCTAGTAATCCATGATTTAACAAATGCCAAAAGGTGCAGACTTTAAGGCCACATATGCATCCCAACATGGCCAGAGAATAATTGAGCTCTCTTATACTCTCTTGTACTTTCTGGAGATCCTGTTTCATTCAGCCTATAAAAATTAAATAAATCCATCTCACGATCAGCTCATATTTTAGGACGAGAAACATATTTAACTTTACAATCAAGCGGAGTCCTAAATGAACTTACATCCAACACTGGAAATATAAAGCAATCAAATCAAGTACCAATAAAAGAAGAGGGAAATATCCAAATACTTTGTTTCCCACAGGAAATGTGGCCTTACATGTGCTACAATTCAGTGTACTGCATAAGAATTAATTTTTAACCATAAAACATTCTGAATATCAATGTGGGCCATTCAGACAAGATGAGGTCATCTGTTGTGGAATCCTTATTCATCTTCAGACTATTCAAATACAGCTTCCATAGAAGAAGTCAATGTCAAAATCTTACAAAGTTATTGAATGACACAGATAACTCCAAATATATTAGGATGCAGTTCATTCCAAAGAGAAAGCTCTTAATCCTTGGTGTTTGTGTTTCAGAACACAGAGCTACAAGGACAATTTGAGGAGCATTGAAAGGCAGCTTGCAGACCATAACCACAAAGTTGGAGCAGCATTTGATCAAATCTCATTTGAAATCCTTGAATCAGCCAACCAGACACTGAAGAAGATCAACCTTGCCAGCACCATCCTTGATGACATTGCTAAGAACACAGAGAAGATGATGACAAATTTTTCTATAAATTCAGGAAATGCCTTCCTCCAAGATGACCTGGAGCCACATCACAATCTTGACATCAATCCAATTAATGTCAACGAGACACCACCGAAGGACACAGATACGATGCTAGCAAGGTCAGATGTAAAAGCTTCAATACATGGTTTCATGGATGAAAACTGACTTTTTTGTTTGCAAAGATTGAGTGCATTTTCAAACATAAGTTTCTTTGCAAGTAACATGACTACACAGGATATATTTAAATATGGAGCTACAAGTTACACTCAGAGATAATAATAATGATACTTGAGATTCAGTGAAATAAAAGAAAACTAATGTTGAGAAAAGATGTGGATAAGAAAATGATACAATCTACTTTGTTCCAGTTCCAGGAGGTATGTGTGCCCTGTGTTTTTGGTGTTATGAATTCAATCACATCTTTTCCCGCCTTGTATATACAGTACAAAAGTAATGGGTATGATCTCAACATACAAAGATCAGAATGCAGGTGGCATCAGAGAGATGAGATTCAAAATCAGGTGTTTCCAGCAAAATTTGCCCCATTGAAGATCTCACCCATTATTAAGAGTGATATAAAAAACCTACACCATTTCTTTTTTATGCATCTTTGCAGGTTCACAGTAATGCTTGACATTGTTCCTGTCAAATTGAAGTGACTGGAGCTACCCCAATGAGAAGTAAAACTTGGAAGACAGGAGAAGAATAGCTAACTGAATGAATGTATTAGTCCAATCTAAGTTGCCAAGGAATCACTCCACATCTTCCTCTGAATAACAAGGCCTTGGTCATTCAGGGGAGTGCCTGGTACCACTGACTGGATTTCTACAAATTTCTAGGAATGCTGAAAATTGTAGGTTTGACTGATAGACATCCATCAATCAAGCTTTTTTTTTTCTCTCTCTTCAAGTTTTACCTCATGCCAGTCATTTTGACATGTATCAAAGTGGTTGGTCACCCAAAAACTTGTAAATAGTGCTTCAAGCTGCCAACATATTCAATCATATTCAATAACCTACAAAGATACAGAACATAACTATGGCAAAAGTCACTCTGAATTACTTTGTATATGCTGATGGTTGGGTTGAACTGTTTCTCACAGGGTGAGAGGCTGCTCACAATTATGGGCATCACTAGAGGTGATGGGGAAAAGCTCAACCAATTCAAGTGCATTGAAAAGCAGCTGTAATAATGACAAGATATGGCTCATTGCAGAAGTTCATAAGGGAACTTCAGAATGACTTGGTTCCATACAATCATAAGTGATGGCAAACTGTAATCTCCAATTGAAAACTGATAAATTTCAATGCTAAAATTTCAATCATTGAACTTCTGGGCTAACTTTTTCCAGGACCAAAGAGTACATGCCACCAGCATCAGCATCAATATCTTCAATTATGTCTTTCAATGCCCTACTAATCCCTTCTTGGTCTTCAAGAATGACCCCCCCTACCACACTTCCTTGACATGTCTCCTCCAGATACTTTTCTCTGGAGGGATCATAGACTCAGAAATTCCTAGGAATGAGAGAACCCACAACAAAAAACATGACAATTGCTCACAAGAATTAGATTCAAAATTTAGGAACTGTGATCAAGACAGTGACATACATAACCTTGCTAGACCCATCCCACCATGATTCTATCTCAATTCCAGTTATGATGTAATTAATAAAAACAATAACTCTTTCTCTTTTTCTCATGCACAAAACCAAGGTGAATAAAAAGCCATTGATTGATCAATGCTATTTCCTAATGGATCCATAAAAATCCTTTTTTATACATATATATATTTCTTTGGTCTGAGTCCAGCATCCAGTCTCTCCATATGAAGTTGTCCTCTGAAGCATCTAATTCTTTGTGTTATTAATCTGAATTTTGAGGATGTGGCACTTGCAGTTGGTTCAAACAGCAGCAGAGATGGAGATTACACCCTACCTGAACTCATTGTCACAGGTGATTAGGAGCACAATTCATTTTTCAAAGCCTCTTTTATTTTGGCTGTATAGTTTTTTTTTTCATTATTCAATCATGCTTCAAATTAAAAAAAAATTCCATGAGATCCCTGCTTTTTTTCTTCAAATATTTCAAGATAAAAGTTTTCTTCATGAGCTTCCTTTAAGTGCCATGATTCTCCATCACAAATTTTATTTTTTGTCCATCCTATATATCACAAATTTGATCATAAACCATATCAATTTTTGCACATGCAGTGACTTCATGGTTATATCAAATGACATTGGTGCTGTTGATTTGACAATAAATTCCCCTGATCACAGTCTAACGAAGCATACTTAGGATGACATTAACAGGTAACTATAATGAAAAAACTTTCCTTAAGAAATAACTCACTCAAGGATGGTGTGGACATCTGGATATTCTACTTGTGCAAAAGGAACACACTGCAGAGTCATGACAATGATTGATGTCAAGATGTCAAAACAGTCCCAGGTGAAATTTAGTCAATCCTCAATACAATGAATTCAAACAGGCCGAAATTTTTGCTATAAGGAAAATAACTGAGCAAAATGAACAATTCATTATGTAAATTTTTCCATTTCTTCTGTTATTGAGTCTATAACAAAGTTATTTTGAGTTTGCTATATGGAACATTGAGTGTACTGGAACATTTTATTGACCTTAAAGCAAGTCAATCAGGAAGAAATGCAATTTTACTTCAGATATGATATTTCTGAGCATGATATATTTTGAAGAGCAAATATTATGAATAAATGCTCTTTATTGGCTATGATATTCAATCCTAGGCATTAATGCAGAAAAAAAATATCTGTGAGCAATGAAGCAAAAGAAAATATTCAGAAGCAAGATGAAGAAAACAGTAAAGAAAAGGAGAAAAGTAATCAAGGTGAAACAAAGCAGCAGAAATGAAAATGGACAGATCACAAAGAATACAGGCAAAATAATAAGCAAAGGCAAAAGTAAAAAAAAAGCAAGCATTTGACAAAGGACCCCATCCATTAAACCTTTTAAGCTTGTTGATGGTGATGGCATTGGAAATATTATCATTTTGCTTGTTGTAATAAGCAACTATAGAAGACTGTTGTTTCTCTATGAAGTGCATTCAAAAAGTTATAATTGAAGGGATGAAAGGAAAAGTGGTCTATTCATAAAAAATTTCCAAAATAGGTATAGTTGGTTTAGTGCTCAACTTTCTTCCTTTCATTGCAAATGGTAACTTTGGGGGAATTATGCAAAAGAAAAATGTGTCTATGTATGCATACTATTTTTCCTCATATGCAAGAAGTTGGTCACTAGAATATTCATTCTTTCCATTGTGAGGCTTGAGAAAATAATTTTTTGCGGATTGATCACTCTTCCTTTCAGTCCTTCAATCAGCAATTTTGAAAACTAAAAATGTCACATTCCTCAATATTAGCTAATATTTTTGAATAGATTCCATACTCATATCCTTCATACCCAAACTGCATCTTTAGATGTGCCTTTGGGAAGCAGCAGAAAATTTATTTTTGAGGTCATTTTCACCATGCTGGGAACACTGAACCTGTAGCAATCTCACAGGAAAATATTTCCCCATACACATCTTGACTTGACTGGCAAATGAAGAACCTTACTGGCACCTATTGACTTAAAATCTCACAGAGACTATCCATGTTTTCCCACATAACCCATATACCCCAGCCACTATGGATCATTCCATCTTCCTATATACATGAAATGGCACCAAGCTATCTTTTTCAGAAGCAAACATATGCAAAAAGATGAGTGAATGCAGATGGATGAATGAAATTTCACTCTGGAGTTGTGCTTCATTTGGGCTACAACAAAAAAAAGGACCAAGTTATACTAAAGGTTTAGGAATCTTTTGCAGGTTACATAATGTAAGCAAAAAATACTGGGGAAGACAAGGAGATAATCTACGAGGGGAGATGCAAAAGTAGTGAGACTTGTGCTTTTATTGTCTGTCTTTCTTTCAATAAGTGGAATCACAGAAGGGAAAAATGTCTATTGAGGTAAGAAGACTACCTAGAGAAATAAAGTGTCTATATTTGCATGAAGGTAAAAATAAAGTCCTGCCCACATAATTACAAAGGGCCGATTGCATGAACGATGTTTATTTTAGACATTGACTATCGATAGTAATTGTTTAAACATTGTCTACGAAAACATCGGTTAACCACTGTCTACTTTCGATTGTGTGAACGATCCCTAAGCCATGTTTTCATAGCCGATGGTTAGACAATGGCTAAACACCCCTCATGGTACATATATATTATGTTCTGACTCCTCAGTTGTCGCATAATATCCTTCGGACTCCACAAAAAATGAGCGAATCAAGTGAAAAAGGAGAACCTTTCCTCAGACTATTAAGTACATCTCGCAGAGATGTACTTAAAAATAAAGGAGAATCTCATGATAGAGAAGGAATGCACTTTCCTTGCACAACAAATAATGCCTGGAAACTGGTGAGTTCTCCTCTGACCTTACTCTGTATTTCGATATATCAGAGGTAAAGCCAAGGATTCATTTTGGACACATGGAGAAGTAGGAAATGTGAAAAATAGGAGTATCATTTGGGTACGATTGCAAAATGAGGGTATTCGAGAATTGTGTGTGGATCCTGGTCAAGTGATGACAAATTCAGTAATAATCCCTTCCGCATCTCGCACTGCTTGGACATCAATGAAATAAAAGCATTTGCGATTGATTAAATTTGTCTGGGTATTCTATTTGAGTATGACAGTCGTCGATGACACTGATCACTCCTGGAAATCCGACAATATCAATAATTATCTTCGAACAACTATCTTTTTCCTCCTAGGAATGTGATGAGTGATGCAAATGGGCAATAGCTTGTGCCATTCCATTTCTAGGAATCAATGTCACATAAAATCGAAGGGTCAGCATAACATGCAAATCGAAAGACTTTCATGATACTCTCTTTACTTTCGAGTCATATTAATTAATTACTCAAGGGGTGGGTACTTGAACAAATCACAATTCATTGCACACGAACAGTGATTGCTCTTATCTGTTGATGTAAAGTTAAGGGATCCCTTCCACGATCTTCGTTCCATTCAAGTTGAGCGCGAAGCAGGTAGACATCATACCTTGATACCTTTCCAAATTGGTATCTCACGCGGAAGTTCTAATCAACATGTTCTTCAAAGGGATTAAGCCCAGAACCTATGTTTATTCCTCCTATGCGACGATGAGAGCACATCTCCGTTATCGAGTGGATCCATAAACAGAATCCATTGTGCTTGGTGATGTGGAGGAGTGTACTAATCTAATGATGCCTGATGTTTCTGTTCTTCATGAGTTGGTTTGACATTCAAGCTGTACTAGATCTAGTCAATGCAGCCTAGCACTTTGCCTGCCAATCCCTTGTCTGGAAACGACACCTTTTTCAGCTTCTGTTAGACATTGGTTAGACAATGGTTAAAGGAAGATAGCGTTCATAGAATCCATTATTGACCTTTGACATCAGTTAACTGATGACTTTCGAAAAACACCGGGAAAACATCGTTCATGCAATCGGCCCAAAGTCTCAGTACTTTTGCATCTTCCCTTGTATATGATTGCCAGTTTTGAGTAACTTTAAGAGTTTCATATACAGACATTATTACAGTATTCATATACAGTCGCAGACATTTTTGGAGCTATTTCTAGCTCTCTAGTATGAACAATGGTAGAGCTGAGTTAATGAAGTGTGAAGAGGAAAAACTACAAATGTAAGAAAAGAATAATGTAAGTTTTTAATGTGTTGCACGTGTATTGAATGTGTTGCAAACAACATAAAAACTGCAGCCTTCACAAAGTGAGATGATGAAGGATGCTGGTAAAAAACATGCATGCATCCTAAGGATGCACTAAAGATGGCAAAACTTATGAATAACAACAAATAACATAACTCAGTGAAATTAGTTATAGTTAAAGGTGTCTTGCAAAGATAAAAAATGACTAAAGAGATTTTCTCAAAGCTTTCATATATATCTCCCATTGAAACCAAAATTGCCCTATTTCTGGCAGGAGCCCAAACACACTGCAGCAAAATGGAGATTAGCATTTCAAGATGAAAGAAAAAGTGACATAAAGTGACACCCCCATCATCCAATATTAGCCTACCTCTAGCTTGGCATTATGCTGAGAGATGGTAAGAGTTTTGTGGACAAGTTGTGCATATGCAGAAGCCAAGATCTCCAATTTCTTTCTTGCTGTCCCACATATATCCAGTTCTTCATACTGATTCTCCAAATCAGCTGAAAAAGTTCAAGGCATAGATTTAACTCTTTGAGGCACACACAGCAGTTCTCTTTGATAAATCTCATTTTGTCAACCACGTTCAGATGCAACTGACCGACAGGTCTTCACAGGCCATATCCTATAGCATCTTAAAAGTTTAACTGAGTAACTGCAGATTCAGATTTAAAAATTGATAAAACTAGCATTGAAACTTGCCAAATGAATGCTGAAGTGACACTTTATGACATTGGTAACAGTAGTACAAAATTGATTCAGATGTTTTAGGCCCACTAAATGTACTCCTAATTGTGTGCTGCTCCCAACCAGATATTGAACTTTACATTGTGTTCAGCAAAATTCTATTTGTCAGACTGTATCACAATTACTCCCCAACAAGCTGATGATATTCAACTAAGATCTTTGGATGTGTATCTTCCAAAACTGGTGCATAGGCTGTTGCTGTAGTCAATAATGAATTATACAATACAGAAGTACTGTTTACAAAATGACAGAAGTGCAATCATCTTACAAGTTAGGCTCAAGTTGAAATTTCACATGCTTAAGAAAGAAATGGATATTTACAACCCTGGCAGGCAAAGTGCTAGGCTGCATTGACTAGATCTAGTACAGCTTGAATGTCAAACCAACTCATGAAGAACAGAAACATCAGGCATCATTAGATTAGTACACTCCTCCACATCACCAAGCACAATGCATGTTCTGTACTATATTAGCATTATCATGCCAAAGTGGTTCTATTAGGAGGCAGGAATGTAGGGTCAATCCATGACCTTTCAGGCATGAATTCACACACCAGAGGAAACCTCTTACTATCCAACAGTAGTCCTGCTGATTGTGACTTCAGCATCATGATGTCCATTTTCATAGAACACTCGGCACTTGGTTCCTCCAGGAATCAAAGGCATGAACCTTGTCCAGCTAATGGAATGTGCAGCAGTGGTGTTTGTGTGACAGACTTAAGCAGTGGAAGCTTTCTCTAGCTGCTTTTGCAGCAGCCACTATCTTTTTCTTTAGTGATAAATCCCTGGTGTGGAGAGGATGAAAAGGGTCTTGCTATGCTGCTAGTTGTTTGGTAGGATCATGCCCCTGATGAGACTCCTACAACTTGTCAGCCCATTAGGCATCTATAACTATCTTTCAGTTTCTTAAACTCCATCTCATCTTGTTGTTTTGTCCCTCTCCATCCAGTTACAATAGCTTGAGCATGCACTGACCAGTGGTTTGTCGTGATCAGCTGAAAATATCTCTCTATTGTAATGCACCTAGGTGTCAATTGCATCAGTAAATATGAGTTCCCCATCTTCCACTAGGAGATATCTTCTTGCATTTAATATCATCAGATTCATCATATTCCAAGGTTTTGGAATTAGTATAATACAATGTAGCTACCACCAAGCAAATGACTACACAAGCAATTAGAATCCAAAGATTTGTGAAATTACTCATTATCAGTGTAAGAGCAAGAAGCTATCATTTGGAGACCAAATATGGAGACAGGAGACAGCAACGAGCAAATGTTGGAAACACTGCATAGTTAGACTAACAGAATAATGAAGAATTTATGCCTGGAACATGAGTTCTACAAGNTGAAAATATCTCTCTATTGTAATGCACCTAGGTGTCAATTGCATCAGTAAATATGAGTTCCCCATCTTCCACTAGGAGATATCTTCTTGCATTTAATATCATCAGATTCATCATATTCCAAGGTTTTAGAATTAGTATAATACAATGTAGCTACCACCAAGCAAATGACTACACAAGCAATTAGAATCCAAAGATTTGTGAAATTACTCAGTATCAGTGTAAGAGCAAGAAGCTATCATTTGGAGACCAAATATGGAGACAGGAGACAGCAACGAGCAAATGTTGGAAACACTGCATAGTTAGACTAACAGAATAATGAAGAATTTATGCCTGGAACATGAGTTCTACAAGAGTTTTTCCATTGCCACCTGGTAAGGTACCCTCCTAGGCACAGGGAATTTCGAAAGATCAACCTCGTTGGGTCCTCAGTGACAGAGCTACACAGGAATGGTCAAGCCATACCCATAGCATACAGTATCTCTTTAACGTGAGGGGGTCAACGGTTAAAAGATCTACTTAAGTTGACTTTTGTACGGTGTAGGAAACCCTAATGTAAATTTGGTTTTTTTCCTGTTGGGTTGGGTAGGATTGGAAGAGACCGCTGGCCTAGCATTAGTGGCAACACAATATCTCTAGGTGGTGTGCACTTAACCATAACCGAACTACACCTAATGCCATGGAACTACTTCCAAGTTTACAGTGGGCCTAATTTACAAGAGTTTATTCAACAGTTGACCTATGTTTGTGCCTTGTCAACTTGAAAAGACAACCACAATATGAAAACAGAAGTCAATGCACCTTGCTTCAACATGAATGCTTTCGTTTTTTTCGGCCAGGTCCCGACTTTGAAATTTTGCATCATTCCATCCCACCTTTCGGATTGCCCATGAAGATTCTATGGACATTCTAAGGTTACACTCTAATAAAGTAATATAGACCTATGCAGAAGGTGGTTTGAAAAGTGACATCCCTATATCCTAGGTCTTGACCCTAACGTTAGGAGTATACATAAGCTAACTCACTGATGAGAACACTAAGGTCAACAAAAGCCGTGTCGAATTCCTTCTCTAGGATGTCCAGCCATCGAAAGCTGATGCTTGTGGGCGAAATGATACTTTTTGAAGATTCTCGACAATTTTTAGAATCAGAGTCATTTTTTGTCTGGGTTTCACTCTCTACTGGAACACCGTTCGCAGCCATCGCACTTCCCCCCACACTGACCGCATACTCAAAGACCTTTTCCCATTGGTCCGCTCTTACGTGTCGTCTGCACCTGACCACGTGTTAAGGACTAGTCATGTCTCTCAACAGACAATGCGACGCTTTGACATTTCAAGGAGGAAGTAACTAGATAAAAATTAAAACTTCAAGCTTAAAACTTCAATTAAAACTTGAAGGTTTGTTAAACGGGAATTAAAATCCAACTATAGATTGTCGTGAGCAATATACTTAAGGGACATGACCATATTTATTGGTTTTCGCATGAAACGTCGAGTTTAGAAATAATTTATTTTGTTAATAAAAATGCATGTTCCATAGTACTGGAAAAAGTATTTTGCTCAAAATGCCCAAGGCAATTTCAATAACTTGTTCAAGCGTTTGAAGGAACTAAACTAATTAGTACGAATGCATCAGATTCATGCATCATGTTCTCAGTCAAAAATTCCAGCTACTATCCAGCTGGTATTCACTGTTGGTTCCAGCTAGACGTAGATGTTTTCAACATCCAAACTGGATTCTTCTTGACCAAGTCGGTATATAGCTGGATTGTTCTTTGTTTACCTTGGGAGTCCTTAATCCCGATTACTCTCGCTCCTGATGTAATTAAATATATTTCAACCAATATTCCGTCTAAGGAACAGTAGGTCCCAAGCAGCAAATTTATGTGAGCAAGATATCAGTTTTTTTGCAATGTCAATTTCTTGTCATTTTCATGCAAATGATATCACATTCATATCAAATTTACGTTCCTATATTCACATCACAAAAGTGGATGTGTATTTTCATATAAACTAGACACGACTTCACCTGATATAAAGTTTATACAAAATCAACATCATACCATCCATAAGACATTTTAGACAAGAAAAGTTTTATGAAGCTGAATTTGTTCTCCCCAAGGAACATGTTGAACATCACCTCGACATCAACATGTACTTATATCATTACCCATGTAGCACAAAGGTAGTGAGCCATAGACGGCGCACGCATTATAATGGCAGATTTATACCGGAGACGGGAACGTGGCGGCACACTTGAGCCCGTGAGAGTGCATGGTCTCTTCGCCCTTTCATCTTCCCTATGGCCCGTGCGAGAAGCTCGAGCGGCTCGAAGGGATTCTAATATCCTCCATTCCTCCATTTTTCAAGTCTAGTTTCATATGGTGTTTGTATTTGGTCCCTTGTATTGGTGGTGCAATACGTATCCCACACAGCACAGTGATATCCCAGAGATGTCCCTAACTGGACGACTTGTTCCCTGGTCTTCATATGATATCCTGAAATTTGTGAAATCCTGTTCTATTCGAACAGTTTCTGACATCTCGGAAGGGATGTCTTCGGGATATCTAAGAGACGTCTTTAAGACATCTTCAGTCAATATCTTCGAGACAGGGCCGGATTAAGGGGGGGGGGGGGGGGCAAAGGAGGCAGTTGTCCCGGACCCCACTCTTTCAGGGGGCCCCCGAAGGAAATAAAAAACATTAAGTTCAAAAAAAGTATTGTATTTGCGTAAAGTAGCGGGGGGGGGGGGGGGGGCCGGAATTCATTTGCCCCGGGCCTCGCAACTTCTTAATCCGGCCCTGCTTCGCATATAAGTATCTGTCAGGAGGCTTTCTTTCCGCCAGAATACCTTTTGAGGTGAGCCTTTCTGTCTTAACTGTTTTCGCCTCCTCTCGGTGGGTTCCGCTTTTGTGCTTTTCAGTGGTTCTTTTACAGTTCGGAAACAATGAAAGGAGGGCCTTTTCATACCTGTTTCCTGGATAGTCCTTATTGGCCCGTTCTTACTTTAAAATTTAAAGTTTATTTCAATGCATTGCTTCAGCTTGGTATAGTTTTTCTGTGGTTTTCATCTTACCCGAGATGAAAACCTCGTCCCGTTTTTACCAAGTCTGGGGTTCTCTTTTCTTGGTGGGATTTTTCTGAACCCCAGAAAAACATCAGGTTTTCCCGATCGCTTCATCTTTGTTCCTGCTTTCTTCAAAGTCCCGGAAACGCCGTGCTCGATAATTTTCTATGCGGTATTCCCGTGGATTCAGAACATTTTTGCTGTTTCCTTCACGTCCTTTCCAGGTCTGTCGAAGGGCTTCACTCACTTGATCTGGTATACAGCTTCTTTCTGGTATTTGCTTGTGTAAGTAATAGCTGGTCCTTCGTTTTCTCTGCTCTCCCAGGCGGTTTTATCCCTGAGTGTTATAGTTGGTCACTTAAATAAATATATAATTTTTCTTTCCTAGGCACGTTCTTTGAGCATCTGCACCCTGGCTGGATTAAGAGGTTGATTAACGCAAATATTAACGCTTTTAATTTCCTTCTGGGGCCCCCCCCGGAGAGGACTTCTAACCTCGGGTCCGTTGCCGGGGGGGAGAATTAGGCTGAGACGTGGGCGTCGAAGATTTGGATGACGACCCGCTATACATGCACGTATACAGAAGTTACGCAACCTATTGGGTGTTCTTTGACCAAGAGTGAAAAGAAGCTCGTCCTTCCCTTTTTTTTTCTCTCTCTCTCTCCCTCCTTGCTTTCCCCTCCCGTCTTGGTTATTTGTTTTCATTTAAAGATAATTCATGCACTGAGTAGGAAAAGAAAATGTTTACAAGGAAAGTGGGACTCTTCCATGCAGCACTTCCTCTTTCCTTGGTGAGTACTCAACTCGGCCTTCAGGGACCCCTCTGAAAAGGCGAATCCTACTCTCATCTCTCCACACAAAATATTCTAGAGAAGAAAGTACGAGAAAACTTTGGTCCCTTCCTAGTGGCCTCCTTTCAGAGAGAATGTTTCAACTCATTTTCAACTCAGCGAAAACGGAATAATACTGGGCTCATCCAGTCATAACCGTGATCACAGCAGAGTTTCATAATTCAGTGATTGGGTATGGGACACTTTCGTTCCTGTCTCCCTATCATCTTGTCTTACCTCATGTCCTCGTAATTTTGCACGTCTGGGTTCTGACATCACGCAGGGGCGTATCCACCAATGAGCGCACAGGAGGAGGAGGAGGAGGGGTTTCTCCTCTCTGTTCGCAGGCAGAAACACAGTACCAAGACTGCGATCTTTCCAGTTTTTCTTCATCCAGCACGATGAC